AATGTGAGTGAATTCGTGAGCCATTTCGTTTGGAGATTGCCATTCTTCCATCGATTACTTTCATCATCCCGCTAACATACGAGGAAGCCAACGCTGGCATGAAACACAGGCGCAAAGCAACAGCATCTCTGAGCTTCAAACCGCTGTCAAATATAACGGCCAGTCTAGTCCCTGTGTTACAGGGCTCCGCTCATTGTGCTGGAAGGTGAGCCCCCGAAGCACTACGATTGCTGTCCGTTATTGATATCATATTCCTCTTCTCACACAGCCTTCGGGCACTTTCTAGACATTTCTGCTCTCCAAAATTGGCAAGGCCGAGGAAGACTGGTTTCAGACCCTACGTGATGGCCGAGAAGATTATGCTCGTCGCCGAGAGTCGTTATTGAAATATGTGAAGCACCCAGAAGCCCTCGCTGAGCTATCGGTCGACCCATTGGCAGATGTCCCCAGCGTATGTCATTAGCCTTCTACTACCTCTTGACTTATCTGAATTGCTACCGCTGACAAGAGACAACCTATGTAGTCCCCTTGGGAAACCGCGCGGCAAGATGATGCAATTCGCGCTGAAATCCAGCAGGATGTAAAGAGGCTTCCCGATGAGGCAAACTATCATGAGGAACGAATCCAAACATTGATACTGGACGTCCTTTTCATGTATTGCAAACTGTATCCTGAGAGAGGCGGATACCGTCAAGGCATGCATGAACTATTGGCACCGATTGTCCATGTACTTGAAAGCGATGCAATTGACGCATCTACTGCTGCCGACAAATCCTCTATCGATGCGCTTCTCCTGGAGCTGGTCGACATCTCATTTATCGAACATGATGCGTTCCTTATGTTTTTGACATTGATGGAGCATGCTCAATCGTTCTATGCATTGGAGCCTACCGTTGGGAAGGCTGAGTCGGCATCACGCAACCGGCCACAATCGTCAACCATTGTGGAACGAAGCCAGTTTATACATCAAGTTTGCTTGCAAAAAGTAGACCCGGAGCTTGCATCCCACTTGACGAGTATAGAAATTCTACCTCAAATCTTCCTCATGTAAGTTCTTGTATTCGTACCTCATCCATTCATGAAAGCCGCTAACTGGGCACAGTCGATGGGTACGTCTTTTATTTAGCAGAGAGTTCCCGTTTGAGCAATTTCTCGTTCTATGGGATACTATATTTGCTGTCGATCCGACGTTGCAGTTGATAGACCTTATATGTGTTGCGATGCTGGTCCGAATTCGCTGGCAATGTGAGTTGCCCCTTATATTTACCACACATCAATTGTGAGGGAATCTGACATTTTTGATTGCCGCTTAGTGTTGGAAGCCGACTACTCTGTTTGCTTGCAACTTTTACTGAAATATCCGGCTCCTGACCCAGTCCACGGGCCTCACACCTTTGTTGACGATGCTGAATACCTGCGCACGCACCTGGATATATCTGGAGGCGCTACCCTCATCGTGCGATACACGGGCAAAATGCCGATAGGACCTAAATCACCAGATGCATCTCGACCGTCGACGCCCAGTTTCCGCACTTTCAATGCCTTCCGCCAGCGAGCGCTGGGTGGTGCAAAATCCCCGCTCAGCTCCCCGAACGCGTTCAGAAACCAGCAGGCCAGCGTTGAGGCAATATTCCAAGGTGCTGCAAAGGGCGCGCGAGGTGTCTTTGAAAGAGGCGAGAAACTTGGGATCAACCAGGCCGTTAGGGATGCTGTGGGGGAAATCAAGCGAAACATGCAGGGATTTAACGAATCGATGGTTACCCCCCGCATGGTCCCGGAGGATTTCAAGGGCGAGAATGCAGCAGTGGCGCTGGCAGCCATGGAGAAGCGAAACCAGCAACTGGCGAATATGCTCGAGGACACAGTAAAGAGCCTGAAAGAGTTTTCAGCATTTCCCATGGACGAGAAGGCGAAAAGCCTCGAACTCATCGAGATTGCGGCAGCCAAGATCCAATTTGTCAAAATATATCTGGAAGACCCTACGATGGAGCTCTTGGTTTCAAACGAACCGAACTCTAGCCTGGATAATGATGCCATGGAAACTGACGACAAGCCGAACCCCAAGGTAGTCGCCAAGGAGTCGATAATAAGACAGCACAAACCGGAGGGTCTCGCTATTTCCTCACTAAGCCTCTCAGACAACAACAATGCCGTACCTGAACAATCAACAGTTTCAAAAGACTCTGGGTCTGAACAAAGGAGCACTGATACATCTTCAAACGGCGTCACAGAGGGTCCTCTGGTAGCCGAGACCGTTATTCCAGAGAGACCCGAGCCCATTCCTACACGCTCAACATTGGCCCAATCATCCTTCTCCTGGATGCTAGAACCGAACGAGCCTGCCCCTTCCCTTTCTCCTCGAGCATCTGTCAAGTCCCCAGTTAGCCCAAGCCACAAAAAGCGGTCCTCCAATAATGTGAGCCGTGAGAGAAATGCGTTTCTCTTTGGCGAGGTGACCTCTCCGGTGGACGGGAAAGACCCGCTGGGTTCTGATGATATTTTTGGCATGGAGCCCCTCAATAGTAAGAAGTAGATCGAGCACTTGGATTGGAGATTTCACTAGCATACGAGAGTCGAGCTATACTCACTCCCCTTTTACGTTAATATAGAAAGCATGGCCTTCTCTGCGGCGTTGGTTCCTGTCTCTTTTTGCGTTGCTGAGGAAGACTTGCCTGACTTGGGATTCATTCATACCGCGTTCCTCCTTCCCATAAACACTTCCCTGAGGAAGTTAAATACAATCCACTTCTGAATAATTTCCCTAGCTCAGGATGCCACAAGGAATATCAACGAATTTTTAACCGCATTAGGGCGCAAATACCCACTATGCGAATAAGTTGATTCATTATAGTTAATTCTGTTGCGCGCATGGGGTTATCATAGGTTGTTGGACGGTAGAGACTCTCGCTTTCCTATTGAACTACAACTAAATCCATCATAGGTTCAAGCATTCCTAGCTGCTAATCTTCGATGTTTTGTCATGATTACACCTGCTCTACTCAGAACGCCAATTAGGCATGTTTCTTAGGGGTTTGATGCTGTAATATCCAAGTTCGTCCCTCCTTATCCCACAAGAATGGAAGGCAGGTTGCAAATTCAATTGGCGTCACTCAATGTGCATTAGGAAAGCGGAGATCGAGGCGAAGAAGCTGATAGCACGAAAATAATAAATAGCCTCGGGACAAGAATGAGTGGAGGTGTGTTATCTAGGCACACTTTTCGGGCAACTAACAGGTCCAATACGAGTACTGACACATCCACTCGGCACCGATAGCTGAAGAGACACGAGCCACAAGGGGAAATCGGTGGGTATTGTAATTAAAACTCAGCCATCCCGAATCATCGCTCGCGGCAGGACTTGCGGGTTCCTGAGGCTCAAGCTGGAAAATGAAGGAAGGCACCTTTACCAGTTGATGATTCACTCAGACACAATTGATCAGCTTTGGATCCCGAGGGAGGGAGCCCTTGACTGGAATGGAAATGACTCGGTGTGCACCCAGCAACAATCAAGGCCGTGGCGGAAATGAGGGACAACGTGGCTGATCGGCAACGGCTGCGCCACATCACATCTCGCTAACCCCCTGAGCTTGTTGGAAAGTGATCGACGAGCTGAGTGCCTGAAACATAGGCTCATCTGACATGTGCGTCATTGGCTCCTCCCTCTCTGATGAGGTCTTGCTTGGCTGCTTGGCTGCCTCCCCTGGGGCTTAATTCCTCGTCAGCACAATCAAGAATACGGGAATGCAGTGCACCGTAGTGTCATGCATGCGTGCATATCTCAGCACAGCAGACAAGCTTGACCCAAGTATCGGGAAATTGGCATCGGCGCCAGGCAATGCTCTGAGACATTCCCTCGGGCAACTCGGGTTGCCCTCCTCCTGTGTCTACGTACCTAATTCCTCGCCACATTCCATCTCATGGCCAAAATCTTGGACTGCTTGGCTGGTGTAGAAGGCTGATGGTTCTTTTAGCTGCTGGGCGGGGCTGCCAAATGGAGACAGCCTGGATTGGTGGCACGTTTCGGATTGGATATGGCGATGGCCTCATTGCTCCCCCAGAGCCAGGTCCATCTGTTCGGCCGTGATGCGACATTCATCTGAAGTCGAAATCGATCGCTGCTGCCCAGTGCCCGCACACCCTGACATGCTCCAAATAAAACCCACACGAATCTGCCTAGCGGCGAAGAAATAAATGACAGGACAGAAGCCAGTCTCTTAGAGCAGTCCGTCCTAGTCAGTGTTTCAAACTGCCCAGCGCTATCCCGGAACAAGCGCTTGCTAGTGACGAAGCCGCCAGGAACAATGTGCGGTGCCTCCCGGGTTCTAACAGGTCCCAGTAGACAGAACCAACAAGCGGCCCTGGCGAATCAAGAGAGTCACATCGACGAGATGGTGGAGGCGGCTCCATTCTGCAGGGGTCGGTTTGCTGTAAATTACATCGCGTGTTGTCACAGATCGTTCTACCCCCTGTCTTCAATAGAATGTATTAGTCGTTATAGCGCCGTTGTGGGAATTTTCGCCCCTACACCCCGACGGTTACAGCATTCCAAGGTTTCCAGCCTTCCTCTTTGGCCGTGTAATTCGTCTCCCACATCGTACAACTTCTCTCGCCCCCGAAGCAGCCGGGAACTGGATGCGCAACAACCCAAGCTTCAACGACACAAAGAGGCACTGCTTGTCGTCGCAGTTTCGAGAACAGACGTCAAGAAAGGATCCACAAAGAGGGGGAAACGGCATGAACCACGACCGCGCCGACACAATGCACTCGCTGGCCTAGGGCATATCTGTAACACGCCGGACTCATTGTCTCGATTCTCCAGGCGCTTTCGTGACATCGTGCGGACCCAGCCAGAAGTCGATCGCACCAGGACGACGCATAACATTGACCTGGGCGTACATGTTTCGTCGTTGGACGACACCAAGACCCATTCCCAGGCCCTATTACCTCAACACGAGCACTGTGACACACCGCGCGCGCACCACGCCGCCGACCAGCTCGCAATGCTGCAAGCGGGATCCCTCCAAGTCCCTTCCACGGGGACTGGGCGCTCGCGTTTCTCGAAAGCGCTCCCTGCCATCCCGGGCCTCGATACAGGCCATGTGGAGGAGAGCCCAGCAGTCTCGAGTTCGACAACCTCGCCCACCGCCGTCCTACCCTCTTCTGTAACTCCTCTCAGATCTCAAGGCGGCTCAGAGCTCCCTCCCCCGCCTCCGCCGCCTCATAACGACGACCCTCGAACACCGATCCAGTTCACTCCTCTGCCTCCCATTCCGAAGAAACGGATTGCCCCAGCGACCCCGGGGCCCGCGCCTACCGAAGCCACGGCACCGGGGGCACCTGCGACCGGCCCGCCGAAAATGATGATCCCAAGGCGTCCTGTCGGTGGCAGCAAGCATACAGCCAGGAAGCCCTCAATCACGTCGCCGGTGAGCCAGGGTGTGATCTCGGGCCAAACTCAGGTTCAGGTTCCCGCCCAGCAGCAGCCTGCGCCTGCGCCTGCGCCACCAGTACAACAGCAGCAGCAAACTCCCTCCGAATCGCTCTCATCGCCGAAAGCAAGCGAACCCCCAGCTCAATTCATCCCGGAGAGGCCCCTCTCGCTATCTGGACCCGAGACCTGGACCCCAAGAGTCAGGCAGCCGAAGGAGACGGGCAAGGAGACCACGCAGGCGCATGGGGAACCTAAAATAGGTACGCCCAACCAGGTGCAACCAAGGGCCGACCATGCAGAGGGGGATGACGTGCGGCCACAGCAAGCTTCCACGGCTCTCTTCCTGGATCCCTCGCAGCCTCCCCAGCCACTCAGATCGCCTGCCGACTCACTGCTGAGCATCCTCTCTGCATACTCGCGTAGCTCAACCGAGTCAGTCTACCGATCCTCTGATGGCACGTATAGCACCCGCGACTCCCATACGAACGATGAGGGACTGGGCATTCATGCCCCACCTATGCCCCCATTGCAGGCCCAGGCACAGCCGCAGGTGCAGCAGGTACAGGCGCAGGTACAGGCTCAGGCACAGGCCCAGGCCCAGGCACAGGCTCCGACACCGATCGTCGGGGCACCCTCCAGCATCGAAGCTAAAACCATAAACCACCTGCATCCCGTATCCACAATCCCGGCCGTCATTGACAGCTCACACCCTCAACCCGCACAACCTCAAGAGCAGCAGCTTTCCAGTCTTGTTGAGCCGCCTTCCTCCCCGCTACCGCCACCGCCTCCAACCAAGGACCCTGCGCGTCAGCTTCAGCGACCCTCCCCTGCTCCGGCTCCGGCTCCGGCCCCGGCTCCGGTATCTATCCCAGCAGCCTCAACCACACCCGATCTCAGGGCTCACTCACCTCCAAGACAACAGCTGTGGACTCGCCGAACAGGTAAGGGGAGTCGCGAGATTCCGGACTTGCAGCTGAATCACAGCCACGGTTCGACGGCCATAAATGCCACCCCATCACCTGCACCTACTTTCGCCACAACCTTCACCACAGTTCCCACGACACCCAAGTCTGTCGTTGGGCTTCGCAAACCGTCGCAAACACGGGCGGATTTTACGACGACGGAAGCCCCACCCCCTCTCCCTCAGAAGCAACCGACAGCACCCACTGTTGAGCCTTCAACAGTGGCTGAGCAGTCTGCCTTTGCCCGAACCATGGGCAATGGAACCTCCAAGTTCAAGCAACTCAAGGACAAATTGATCAAGGACAAAATCACCAAGGATGTCTTCAGCAAGGACGTCTTTAACAAGGATGTTTTCAGCAAAGATGTATTCAATAGGGACAAATTCCACTTCCCCCGCCGTTCTGAGGATGCTGGCAGCCGTTCGCGAAAGAACTCGATGAAGGACACGACAGCGCCGGAGCCTCCTATTCCCGATTTCCCCCAGCCCGGAATGACGAAGTTCGATCTATCAAAAGCTATGCCTAGCTTGCCAAAACAACCACCTACAGAGACTGCGAAGCCGGAACCATCTCTACCGCCCTCGACCTCCCAGTCAGCCTGGCCAAATATCCCCAAGACAGAACCGATTCCGGCACAAGCGAAATGGCCAATGCCGCCAACAGGAGGGCCGAGCCTAGCACAGGGGAACTGGCCTGAGCCACCGAAAGGAGGACCGAGCCTGGCGAAGGAGAACTGGCCGGAACCACCAAAGCATGGGCGGATCCCCTCACAATCTGCCAATGAAGTCGTCGATGAAGTTCCCGAGAAGAAGGTGAACCAGGCACCTCCACGATTATCACTCGCAAAGCCGGGTTCTGGCTTTTTTGACCTGTCTTCCGATTGGCTCGAGCAACACAGGGCGGCCCCAACTCAACTGGAAACTGTCGAGGAGCCTGCAATTAATGCCGTGCAGAGCCCTTCCTCCCTGCCCACCAAGAAACCTGTCAAGGAGCTCGTCGAGGAGCCCGTGAAGACAGCCATCGAGGAACCCATTAGGAAAGTACTCGACGCGCCCGTCAAGGGACCCAGCAACGAATTGAAGGATAACACCCAAAATATCCATAAAGAGGCTTCGCAGGACTCACAAACTAATGATCAGAAAAACCGACCTACTGGATATCGGCCACCAACCCCGGAGTATCAAAAGGAGGATGTAAAGACTCCAATCGTTGACAGTTTCGCCTCGCCTCTTTCTCCGGCCTCCTCTCCCGAGCCTCCCAATAATGAGTCCGCACAAGACTTGCCTAAGGCCCAGTCGGAAGATCAGCTTACGGGATTGAAAAAGGACCAGTTGGTGTCAGAGGTGAAGGTTGAGACTCAACCCCCACCAATGAAACCTACCCCTGACCCTATTCTCAAAGCTCCTCAACCGGTTTCAGCTCCAGCCCCAACAACTCCAAGAAGGCTTTCCCTTGATATGAGGGCGAGAGCTGGAACCCCCCCTCTGACTGAACCATTTCCATCCTACTCGGCCATGCCATTCTCTGGTCGCAACTCACCTGGTCTTTCCGGCCGCAACTCTCCCGGTCCAGACGGACCACGTGGTCGTCAGCCCGAGGGCTACTTCAGGCCAGGGTCAAGAAATGCCTCCGTTCGCCCAGAGTCAAGAAGCGGCTCAGCTCATCCTGACTCAAGACGACGCCTGGACTCCATGAGAAGCACGGCACCGGAGCCTGACAGGTTCGTTCGCTCATCTTCAGGCGAGCTTCTCTACAGAGGACGAGACGGAACACTCTATCCGGAGATGAAGGAGCTTCGGGAACCCGACCCCAAGGCCGCGTATTTCCCATCACAGAATAGCGAGCCTGTCGCCGAGGGTGCGGTTTTCCAGGCGGTGCCTCTTAGAGACACGCACTACCGCTGCTACCAAGCTCACAAATCCATGCTGCGGCGCAACAATAAACACTACCCTCTGGCCTGCCAAGCTTGCCAGAAGTCGGATACGGAAGATCGATGGGCCTGTACTTTCTGCTCCCTGAGAATATGCGAATCCTGCGTGGGCGTTATGGAATCTAATAAGAAAGACCTGGCTTCTCTAATGCACAGCTTGGCTGGCCAAACGCCTTCCGCCAGCTGAGTTGAAAGCCAGACACGAATGAATTCTCTTTGTTTTCACCGATAATTCTCCTTCTACCTGGGCTACAGCCTGGCCAAATATTTCCAACCTATTATTCAACCTTGTCACCTTCCTACCTCCATCTTCTTTCTCTATTCCTATTTTTTTTTTCAAGTCTCCCGGCTGCGCTATATAAAACGGGATGTTGGGTCTCTAACAAGCATTGATCTTTTGGGTTTCGAATATATTAGAAGGGGAACAAAACATGGGCTATAATGCCATATGCAGGACTCGCCAGTCTTGGATTGACTATTGATGATATCAAGTTCATATGTTTTATTGTACATCAGACCTGGATGATGGGGGGAAGGCCTCCGCTGGATGTGCGGCCTGGGAAAAGCTATGCCTCTACGAGTGAATGGAGAGGGTGTCGTCGACCGAACGCCAGTACTCCATCTACAAATAGGTAGAAGGAGAAGAAGGGCGCTGCCACATATAGTCGATGTGAAGAAATACAAAAAAGTAAATTCAAGCATGATCGACCTTTCTTGAGACGTGACGAATTTGATCCTTCCTTCCAAGTAGGCGGCGAGAGTAGAGGTGAGACTTGCTCAAGCAGACTCGGGTTCAGGGACAAGGCTGTGAATCATCCCGGTGACTATGCCAGACCGTAATACCAAATAAGAAAAGCTGGGCTTGACTACGGGCTGACCATGCAACCAGCGGTCTTGGAGGCACCCAAACACCTCCGCCAAGGCTTCCCTTCACAAAATTGGAACTGGAGGGGATCACCAAGTAGTGCCCTGCCCAGCGGTCGGTGAGAGCAGTGTTCGCGAGACTCAGAAACAGCCAGCCCGATGATGTAACGGTTACGACGAACACCCAGCTTAGGCAGATGACCGCCCGTCCTAAAACAAAGGGGAAAATTGCTGCTGCAATTTCCAGTGCTAGGAGTGGTAGCAGCGGTGGACGAGGAGCATTTTCCTTTTTACTCCTCATCTATTCTGAATTGCCATATCAAAAGGACTCAACGAAAAGTCCAGACACTTTTTCATATCGGGAGATCAAAACAGCATAACGGCCAGGGGGCTCTCAATAGAACCTGGATTATCCCGACCAGCACTGGCTGCCATTGCCACTACGACTCTTGTCATCACAGCAGCGCTACTCGAGGGGATCTCTTTGAGGATCCGTAGCCACTGCGAACTTTAATGTTCGTTACACGAGGTCTCGATCGTAAAAAAAAAGCTTCTTTCCAACACGAGATCATGCAGGCTTACCCATCATTGGGCTCAAGCTCTATCTAGGTTTACACCTACTGTCAAGCACGAGGGCTTGTAACAAACCTACATTAGCTAGGTCAAGAAGCCACCTTTTAGACGAAGAGAAGAACAAAGACAAGCTTCATGCCGATGAAAGAGTCGTAATTCTAAGAACTAAAATAAATAAAATCGTCTCCGTGGCTAAACTTTCCTTGTTGCAGGCCCAGCTAGATGCATACCCATACCCGACTTGAGGCACCCAAAAGCCTACAAGAACCCGCCGTGGAGCTTCCGCGGCGAAGTTTAAATGTGCAGATGACAAGAGAAGAAAAAAACCTGTTCCTTGGCTTGCTTCGCCATGTTTTTAGATTCAAAGCTGAAAAAGTCCAACGCCAAAAAGCAGCATTTACTGCGGCCCCCCCCCTTCTCAACTGGCACATCACACAACCAACTCAAGTGTATAAAAGGCACTGGTTGGCCCCTCTCTCAGTGCCTTAGATGACTTAAGATCCCTCCGAATCCCTAAAAAGAGTAGGTCAGGAGATTTAGACTGAAAGTCATATCGCGATACTCACTAGACTAGCCAGCCTCTAACATTTGTCAGTATGCCTCACGCAAAGGGGGGACCGCCCCCGTCATCGACACCTTGAACGTTAAAAGCAGGACAGCTTTCCGGCCGAAGCGAGAAATACAGCCGCTTTCGCCTGTATGCCATATGAGAGAAAAGAGGAGAAGAAGCTAAGCCAACGTACCGGGGGCTGAACACCGTCCGCGGGCCTCATCATCGAGAAGCTATGGAAGAAACCAAAAGAAGAAGATACCAAGGTAACTGCGGAGGGCAAACTCGTTCTACTAACCCGTGATAGGGAAAATGATGATTTTTCTTCTTCACATTAGCGGACGAGCCGCTAATGCAATGAAAAAAAGAAGAGGGTGCGACACCTGGAGGTAGTGTAATACCAGGGCCACACGAGTGAAATCAAAAATTGTGCTGCGATAGACCAGCCCGTCACTGTTAGTATGCCTCACGCAAAGTGGTGACGGACCGGCCCCCTTCTTCAACACCCTGAGCGTGTCAAAGGCAGGACAGCTTTCCGACCCGAAGGAGGGAAGTACAGCACGCTTTCGCCTGTATCACGTAGGAGAGAAAAGAGGAGAAGAAAAATCAAGACGGAGTTTGGGGTGGGGGGGCATTTTATAACCGTGGGTCACTCACTCCTTCCACATACACACTCTTGCCTTGGAGAGGAGCTGAGCTGACAGAAGGACAGGAAGACGCGGCGCCAAGCGATGGATGGCATTACGAGGGAAAGCAGCAGTTGAGCCAGCACGAGTGTAAGAACCCGGAATGGAAGGGGGGTCGGAATCGATGCCTGCCTCCCTTACCCAGATAGTCTACCAAGTGCTCACATACATACACAGGTATTTTCGATACGGAAAGAGACGTCGACGTTGTCCTGGGTGGAAACCAGGGAAGTCTGCAAGACAAGGAAGGCGGGAAAGCGGGATGTAGGCAATCGGGAGCGTTGAAGACGGGAGTTCGAAACCAGAGCAGGAACGCCTCAGCTGCCAATTCTTGGTGTTCGCATGGCGAAGGAAAGCGTGGTGAAGACGAATAGTAAGGGAGGGGGCGAGGCACTTGGCAAGCTACCTGCATAACGATCCTACCTTGCCAGAATCGAGATGTTTACTGAGCGGCATATCGAGTTTTTGCAATTTTCCCAGTGTAGTTCAAAAAGCAAGCAGCCCTCTCAAGTTTTGGGTTGAAGTTCGTGCCTCTACTGCTAGCATTGTTCCTTTAAGAAGATGGTGAGAGAATGCACCCCGTCGTGTAAGCTAGCAACCCGCTGGCAGGACGGAAGCGGCAACAGCGTCAATGGAGAGGATACGCTGCTGCATCGAGTAATTCCGAAATGGGTATCCACCGTTACATAGTAGCTTCTTGTAATCTGAAATCAAAGCTCATGACCCTTGGTTCCTTACAATCTGTGTCCACGTCCCTCTGGATGGAAGGAACAGGGGTTACAGAGCCTCCCGCCCTTGCGACCCACTGCAACTCACCGCTGACTCTAAGCCAGGATCAGTAAGGTTCATGCTGATAGGCGCATGCGCATGCTGCAGGAAGGGGGAACTGCGCTATCAAATGGCACTTGACCGACTAACAGCTGGGCCATTATCATCATCCTCCGCCTCACAGTAGTTGTTTGTTGTTGCTGCTGAGGCCGGATCTGCCATGTCTTCTTCCATCGCGCGCACTCGCTCGCTCCGGAAGCCAGCCACAGTGCCATCCGTATCTGCATCCACGTCCTCATCCCCTTCTGCAGACTCCCAACCGAACTCAGATGGACGCTATGGCTCGCCCAGCCGTCTCCCAGTCAAACCTCCTCCCCGGAGCTCAACAAGTACATCCACGACTTCACAAACGAGGCTTGCCACCGCAATCCCAACAACAGCAGCAGCAACGGCAAAAACTACGACTGCGACAACGACGACGGCAAGACCTACCACTGTGCTGAGGCAGCCACGGTCGGTATCTGGTTCACGCGTTCGCCCTGTCCCCGGAAAACAGCCGCCGGAGCCTACCAAGAAAGAAACCGCCACATCTCCCACTACCACCACAGCCACCGGCCGATACCCTCCTCTCACATCCACGACTCGAGCTACCACAGCGACTACCCGTACTTTGGGCACCAGGCCAACATCGACGGGCAGCCAGACCACCACACGGCGTATACCGCCCGGCCATACACGCGCCAAAAGCACCGTAACCACAGCTAATACCAATGGAGCCGGACTAAGTTCGCGGGCACCCTCGCAGCCAACCACCAATGGCTCAACCACCCGCTCCCTCCATGCACCCAAAATCTCCATAGACAAAGGGTCCAGCATCAGCACTCCTACCAAGCAGCAGCAGCCGCCACAGCAGGCCGCCCCTCGTCTACGACCTGCCTTTTCCACGCTACAACAGCATTACTCTCCAGCCAAATCTGCCGCGCCAAAGCCCTTGACCTCAGCAATCCTTGCTCCACCCTCACCGTCCAAGCTCCCAGCCAACGTCGCCGCATCTGCCGAGACGAGCAAGCTTCAAACGGAGCTCCTGCAGTTGCACCTTCTGCACCGCGATGCGGCCGCTGTCGATGCCGACTGGCAGGCCAGCGCCAAGGTCAAACTGGGGCAGAGGTTCGAGCAGCTTGTATTGACGAATCGTGAGATTGCTGAGCAGGACCGGGCAGCAGTTGAAGGGCTGAATGTTCTGGTGTTGCGGGAGTGGGGTGCAGCCGGTGGTCTCGAAGAGCGAATCCAGGCCCTTGATGGGATAGTTAACGGGCTGTGGACGTTAACAGAGGCAGGTGGGAGATACGCACGCCTGGTTAGACGATTCGAGCGTTGGATCGACCAAGTGTCCGAGCTGGAGGAAGCCCGCCAGACGGGCCAGATGTCCGTCCAGAAGAGTGGAGGCCAGGCCCTCTTCATCGACGAGCTGGACTCATCTTGGAAAGAGGATCTGTCCAGCATTACCCGTCGTTTGGATGGGTGGCGTAGACAGCTACGAGATATTGGTGATCTTCCGGCAGGTGAAGACACCCAAGGGTCGAACCTGGCTCGGATGCTCGAGGGGTCTCAGGCATTAATCCACGACACGCTCGCCGAGCTCAGTCTGATGGAGGATATTGAGACTCAGATTCTTGCAAGAGAGGATGTTTGGATTGAAAGGATGAATAGAGACGAGGAGAGAGATGATACCCCCGGAGCTGGAGCGATTTGGCGTCTTGTTTGAGCGGCAGCATATTGCTCGCTAGCAGTTTGGACGCATGAGATATAATGACATGACGACTTAACATACAGCCCTCGCCACGCGTACTAATGATCCATGTTGGGAATATTCATTTCGAATTTCTCTATGAACAACGATTGAACTTTCTTTAAACTCATGATAGCCACCCCAAGCCGTAGATGCTAAAAGAGAGACGGGCCAAGAAGAAGAAAAACATATTAATGATATTTCAATGTGTCCAGGAGCCGAGCTGCCTCACACTCCTATTCAAAATCACCCTGTTCCTGAGATTCACACACAAGAGGAAAACAGAAAACTCCCCCAAAGCTCCATGCGTATGAAACAGCGACAGAACGCAGCAAAACAAAGCTGAGAAACAGCGCAATGGCAGAGATTCTAGGTTGCTTCGATTTCAGGTTTTCGTTTTTCCTCCTTTGATCCCCCCCCTCCCCCCCTTCCGCAGTCGTCCCTTGCAAGCGCACGTAGCTCTGTTGTAGTCTCTCCCTCCCCGTGGGCTTTCCCCTTCACTGGCGTGACATGATGTTCCGTTCCTTCTGTTTTCTGTTTTCGGTTACTTTTTTATTTTTTTATTTATTTTTTTATGTCTGGCTTATAGGAACGACCGCCGGGGGAAGCTGACGCCCTCGATGGCCGGCTCGTCGACGAACCAGCTAGCGCGGTCCCCGGCGCCCTCGTTGACGAGCGCACAGGGCAGACCCTTATCGGCGTCGAAGATGTCCTTCATGATGTCCTTCTTGCCACCGCCGGTGGCGACGAAGGCGACGCGGACGGCGTGGGTGACGACGGGCAGGGTGAGGGTGATGCGCTTCGGCGGGGGCTTGGGGGAGTCGTCGATGGGGGCGACCCAGGCGCTCGTCTCGCGCAGGAGGGGGTGGCCGGGGAAGAGGGAGCAGGTGTGGCCGTCGGGCCCGCAGCCGAGGAGGAGGAGGTCGAAGATGGGGAGGCGGACGGAGTCGCGGCTGGCGAAGCTGGAGACGAGGACCTGCTCGTACTGGTCGGCGACCTCCTGGAGGTCGTCGAGGTGGGCGACGTCGATGGTGTGGACGGTGGGCTGCTGGTCGGCGGGGAGCTTGTCGAGGAGCTCGGATTTGAGGAGGGCGTAGTTGGAGTCGGCGTGGTCGAGGGGGACGACGCGCTCGTCGGCGAAGAAGATCTCCCACTTCTTGAAGTCGATTACGTCGTCATTTGAGGTCGAGGGCGCGAGGAGCGCGGCGGCCAGGGTCTTGGGGAGGGAGCCGCCAGAGACGGCGACCTTGAAGATGCCGTGGCGGGCGAGGCCGAGGGCCTGACTCTGAACAATGTATGTGCGCAGGGCTGGCGCCAGAGTGTCGACGCCTGAAAAGGCGTACAGGTTGGGCTGCGTCTTGGGCATGGCGGCAGATGGGCGAGCAGCGCTCTTCGATCTCTTTTTTCTTGTTCGGTGTACTTTGAGAGGGCACAGGTAGGACCGGGTTGGGAATTGGTGGGTACGAGAGGAGAGAGGGAGAGAGAGAAAATAAAAGTTGAGCTGTCGGATTCAAGCCCAGGCAGTCGTTTGCTATAATGTGCTCGGTATAAGGTGGGCTGGAGCCTTGGAGGGGGAGGTGACTTATCTAAATGAGATGGAGGGGTAACATCAACAGGGGGGTGAGTACCAGACCACCACAATTAATAGTGCCAGTACCTAATGACATATTCCCTTGGGTCTGATGAATTTCTGTGTCATCCTTTTAAACGTCTGGAAAACCCATGTGCTGCACTGGTGGTCTTTATAAGAAATTACGATTATCAGGTAATCGGCAGACAGTCCATCTTCTCCCGAACCCTCCCTCGCTTTGAGTTTTCGCCCTACCCATGCTCCTTGCCTCCGGATTTGCACATTAAGGTGCCGAGGGTGAAGGTGTGGGTTGTGGGCTGTGGGCTGTGGATATGGCTGGCTGGTGGGTGGATGTGATTGGGATGATGGCATCACAGCCCAGACATCAATCAATCATCCCCGTGCATATATTTTCCTCCACTGCAGGGAGAATTGACGTCCCACAAGGTCTGTGGCATGTGTTGTGTGCCCAATAGCTGGGAGCCGGGCGAGGTGCAAATAATGGAAGTGGTGGTGGCAAAGAGGCGCCCGGAAACTAGAGCCGTAAGCGCTCACCTCTCCATCCCATCTCATCTCATCAATTCCCACCTTCGAGTGCCCGCCCCTCATAATGACGAAATGACGATGGTTGGTGGTGATGAGGTTTTTTCGTTTTTCTGGGGCTCGCTACGTATATTGCTTGCTGCCCGCGCTCAAGTGGCCCCGCTAACGTTATCTTTCTGCTGCTCTCATCACCCCGAGCGGGAAATTGTTCGCCGAGAGCTGTGTCACGTCATGCCAGTTGTGCAGCCAGCGGGCGGCATCGTAGGTTCCCTCATGTTCCCGTTCGAAAACACCAATCGGCTTGACGGACCTTCTTGCCAGACCGGGGCTCTGCTGAGGATGCTGTGCCAACTCACCAGCCTACCTTCTTCTGCCGAGCCCGCGAGATAGTCAGCGTTTCGTTTCGCCCACCGAGCAAGCAAGCGGGTTGGCTGGCTGACCATGGATGTGGGATATAAGTCAATGCACATGCAAACAATATATGCCCCAGCCGGGGTTCGCTCCCTGAGCCGGCATGAGAACGAGCAAGCGAAGCGAACCAGCGCCCGCTGTTCCACCTTGTGCCCTGCTCCTCTCTTCGAGCTGGAGAAGGAAGACAAGGATGCTGGCCAATGCTTCATGCTTTGGGTTCCAGCATGTGAATTTTGGATGCCACGGTGCCTTATCTGTTGGGTGTCGACAGCTCAGGCCTGGTGAGACTGGACATTGCCAACCCGTCCAGTTATTCAGCCGGCTCAGGAGCCGGATGTAAGCACTATATCGTCCTGACGAAGCGACAACAGGTAGATAAAGGATCATGCTCCCCTCTCCCTCGATGATGCACAATATGAAACTAGGTAGGTGGATACGTTGTCAGGGACCATCTCCCTGCTTCTTTTGACCATTGATGGGGAACTTGGACTGCAACTGTGCTGTAGGAAGGATTGCCCTGTTCTGCCCTTTTCGGAAGAACCCCCTGGTATGGTATGGTGTCTCGGAGCCCATGAGGATTTAAGTATCCCTTAACCGATCATCTGGGTCTCGTCTAAAATTATAAATGTATTGCTGGCTCTGACTGGGACATTGTATTGATACCTCGGCGAGTATAGCTAGGTAGGCTGTAGGATATTCCATAACCCAATTGAATAGCATTCCGAATAGCTGGTCGTCCGTATACACTGAATTACCAGGCCGTACGTAAATATGACTGCGTAGAGAGGAACGGCGTTCGCGCTCGAACATTATGGCATCGATTAAAGTTTAACAGCCCGAGTTGGTGGTGGGGCCATGAACGGCTTCAAGATATCTGTGAAGGATAGGGCTTCCACCGTTGGGTGGCCTGCATCGCAACGCTGAACGGTCGAGAGTAAGCATTCCGTGACCGTCGGTATATGATTTATTTGGTTCCAGGGAATGGCAAATAGCTGTCAGCAGGGCGAGGGCCAGCCAACGGCGAAGCTCATTACACTATAGATCAATCATGGCAGGGGCACGTGGGATAGAGTTGAGAGCTGTTGACTGGTAAAATTAGAATACGGTCTTTCCAATGCGAAGAGGTGCGTATTAGTACTTATAGGATATGTGGAATTCCTCGGTCTAACGATGAGATCTTGCTTTCTGTTGGGTCCGAGGCAGTGGATTTCAGAAGATCAGGAAGCGACGCGGGCACGCGGTCGGCAATCATACTGAGCAATCAGAATGCGGTTGGACTTGACAATTGATAGGTCGCCGTCTGGATCTTCTGACGTGAAAGGGCCATCACAGTGTCATCTACCACCATGATTGCCTATCCATCTTATGTTGATTGACGAGGTCCCTACGGCAAATATGCGAATGTTATAGCCTGAACAAGCGAGCACCGTGCTTGTCTTCGCTCAGCTTCAATGAGAGCATATGATGGTTGGTCGTTCTGAACAGAAAGTAGGCGCCATACATCATCAGCCTCCAGCCTTGGAAAGAAGTGAAGTCTTAATGCCTCGTGTTAGCCTTGAAGGGGCATTCTGATTTGATTTCGTTGGAGTATTTACTCGCTGATCATGTCATCGAGAAGGGCATCTCGATATTCTTGCGCCTGCCACCTTCTCGATTTTGGGCTGTATGCTCCTTCCTTCATGAATAGCGTTCCTCTCTTGAACATCATTCTTAGGGAAGGGGCTGGGGGGATGCGACCGATCACATGGACCACGGTACAACAGAACATCGAGATATTAAATGCCATTGAGGAGGCTGCTTTGCTTAGTCGGTAAGGTAGGTACGTAAAAGAAGTATACCTATGTTGGCTTGAGTTACCAATGGTACCTTTATCAAGATGGTGCCGTCATTCCAATGCAAAAAGTACCAGGTATGAATCCTTGATCAGGGCCTATGGAGGAATAATATGGAACTGTCAAGAGAAATAGCCTAGTTAATAGACGAAGCATTATGAAATGTCGGTCTGGGTTCCGTATTGTATGGTCGAAGTTTAGCGCTGATGTGGTTATAGGAGCTGAAGAGATACGAGCGAGGCCTCAGAAAAAAGGTAGGGCCGAGACCTCAAAATCTGCTTCCATCATATCCATATCATGGATTTTCAGCCTCGGAGATATATTGGCCATCATGAGGGATGTCGGGCTTTGAAACCGCCCATTTCTAAAAGGAATTCTTAACCAGGATGTTTTGTGCTTCAAAGATGGCCAAGGCTCCGGCATTGTGTGCCAGAAATGACGTCAAATCCTTTGAGCATCGCACGAGATACTCCTGGACCTGAATAAAGGCGAACTTAGCGGTAGCGACAACCAAGTATTCGGGGCCGCCGGGCAGGTGAAGGCATTGAGGGTTTTCAGGAGGAAATGCTCCTGAACATCAGGGTCCAAGCCGCTTTCGGGAGATTTCCTGCGCGCCGTTGGTGCAATCACGCCCCAGTAAGGGACCCTTGCCTAGCAGCTCCTACTTTTCAAGGTCCAGCAATGGGTGTCTGCTCATAAAGCCAACATTGATCTGTCGTTTTCGGATTGAGAAATACATAGGAGCGCATGCTATTTCACATAGACAGTATGCATGGTATCTAAACCCCTCTTCGTTCTTGTAGATACCCTCGATGTTCTTTCATCGCACTACCTTGGGTAGGTTAGTAAGTATTCCTCCCTTGCAGGGTGCGCGGACTTCGCTGAGGGGCCAATCCCGTGCCCCGCCAGCCGCGGAATGCTCTATTTCGTTTGAGGGCAGGTTAGGTTAAGAACCGTAAATCTCTTAGGTGCCCGCCTCCTCAACAACCTGGCCCAACTTACCTGGGTGGAAATAATGATAAACGATGGGCACCTTGCCCCGTAATGTTAAGGATCGAGGGCTAGCATAGCTTATATATTCTCTCGAAAACATGTTGATGCTGTCCTTCAACACATTATCCAGGTAGGAGAATCAACGTCGTTCGCAGAGGCCAAACTTGCGCAGTAGCACCCCCCACGACTACTTGTCAGCCGACACACATCCATGCAGAATTTAGTCAGTGTGACGTATGTGCAGTTCACCATAGTGTAGACACCAGTCGTATGACAGATGGCAGCGACAGCATATTGTGCAGCGGGAGGTGCTACACGCCGAGAAAGGAGGGGCTTGAGGGGTTACGCTGGTGCAGGACCCCGCCTAAAAAAATCATGAAAATCCAGGGTCCTTCCTCAGGATGGAGGGGCGGGCCTGTGGAAGGAACGAAGAAGCGTCCACGCTTATTCCAGGAGCTTTTGAGCCGTCCATTTATTAGGCCCCGGCGCATACATCGTCGTCCGGGACTTTCTTTCACCTGCCGACCTCCCGAATTGCCAATCACCTGGAGCCAATAGGTACGGCGCACAGACACAGCCAAGGCAAGATCGTCTGCAGACTGGCACCCGTCTAGCTTCCCATTCCTACAGCCCTCCAGTTTCAACCTCACTCGCTCATCGCATCGCCTATACCTACCCTCCCCTCTCACCTCCCCTGAACATTACCTATAGTATCATTCGCTCCGCCTTCGACCATGGATGGGGAGGTTGACATGCACGAACAGCTTCTGGACCGCCGACTCCAGCTAACAGAAGCCCTGGGCAGCCTTCCCTATGATCTGGTCCATTACCTCGAGCGCGCTGTAGTCCATTCTGATCTGGGCTATCCAGACCTCGCAGCTGGCGATGCCTACCGTGCACTCTTACTTTCCGACGAGGTCGCCAACGAAGGGTTTGAGTACCATGAACAGGCCCTCGAGAGCCTTCAAATGCACGCTGGCGTTGCGCTCCCCGAGGTCCTCTGCTTTGGCGCATTAATCAACGAGTGGTCGCTCACCCCTGGGTCCAACCCCGATGGACCGACCGAGGCAGCCACCATGAAATTGGCCACAATCGCATCCATACGGGCCTACCAGATACTCTCCTTGAGTCTGCTTCTCTGCGGGTGCCTCAAGAGCGCCGCTACCTTTTGCCAACGCGGGCTCAACATGGCCCCTTCGAACCGCGAGTTGCTCGATGTGCAAGCACATATCCATACTGTGTCTACCCGCAAGTTTCACAAGAGTGGCCTTGATATCAATGATCTTCCCGACCACGGTCTAGTCAGAAGAGAAGTCTACCCTTGGAACAATCATGAGCCCGATCGCTTCTCGGATGAGTCTCTCGGCGCTCTCAACGCCGATCTAGAACAAATGGCACCCAAGTGTGAGGTGAGAGTGGCCACGCTACCCGTGCTGCTAGATGGAGCAAGCGAGACGGATGAATACGACATCATACCTACCTGCAAGCAGCTCGGTGTGTTTGCCAAGGAGGACATCGTCCCGGGAGAAGCCGTGTTGCGGGAATACTCCCTGCTGACCGCGAATAACCGACTAAAGGACCCAGTCTGTGATGCCTGCAGCTCCGATCTCCCACCACTCGGCAGTGACCAAGAAGCAGTCAACTGCGATGAATGCTATGACACTGTCTTCTGCAGCCAGGATTGTCACGATCAAGCCCAGGAGCGCTACCACCCATCCGTGTGCGAAAAAGATGTAGATGCTATTGCCAAAGACCCCGAAGCATTCGAAGCCGGCGAAACCCTGTACCTTCTACTACTCTCCCGTGTACTTGCCCTAGCCGCTCATCAAGAAATACACCCCCTCGAAGTCCGCGAGGTGAAGTTCATTTGGGGAGATTTCGTGCCCTCCAGATTCAATGACATCAACCCATCGCCAAATGCAGGCCCGCCTCCAGAATGGACACTCCCTTTTTCTTTCAAGTATAACATCGAAACCCCGCTCCACGTACTCGAGAAGATGGACGTGGATATCTACACCACTCTCGCCAAATATGATTTGTGGGTACTGAACACCCTTTATGCCAAGTTCAGAGGGACGGCTTCAGCTCGGAAAAGCCTTCGAGACGGAAGGCCAGATGTTGCTGCCGTCCATCCATACTGGTGTTTGGCCAACCACGATTGCAATCCAAATGTAACCTGGGAATGGGGTGGCCATATGGTTCTTTGGGCTACGAAAGAGCGAATTGGCGGGAAGGAAGGCGGGATCAAGGCCGGCGAAGAAATACTAAATCACTATTGTGACATCAACCTCCCAGTCCAACAACGACGTGAATGGGCCCTGGGTAGCTTGGGCGGCTGGTGCATGTGCCAGCGTTGCCGTGATGAAGCAGCAGCCGCAGGTGTAAACGCCGAAACCAACGGTGTATAATGAATATGGAAAGAGGCAAGCTTCTGAGAGTTGGTTCAGCAGGCAGTCCAGTTCTTTGGTCCGCTCAGATTAATGCGTGTGGCATATGAAACCTCTATATAATCTTGGATATAAGTCTGATGACAAGGACAAACAAATAAATAAACACTTCAATTGGGTAACCAGATCACACCAAGACTGGAATAATAATGCCGGTATATTTTAGTTAATCATGATGGTTGAAATCAGTCACACAAGGCATCAGCAGTGCATTCAAGCAAATTGTGGACAAAAAGTTGGTAGAAAGAATTGCTTACCTAGCTTGCCGTCCCCTTTGCATTTTCGGGCAGCCCCAAGAAATGCATTTATAAAGAGGTTGGACATCACTAGCAATACACTTCACCTGCCTGGCCACCACCTCCATTCATATCTTGTACTATTTTGAACTATAACAGGAAGATGGAGAAAGTTGATTGATGATGAATAGGCGAGACCGTTGACATCAGCAACCGAATATGAAAGCCGTCACTTTGATAGGCCTCAAGCCGCATTATTGCTTTATCATTACTGTGAATTGTATACTGCGATCCTTTGTATTGTGCTAACTATCATCACGGCTTTTCCTTGACAATAGACCTCGGGGGTTAAATATGGGCAATAGAACCTAGAAACCAACCAACCAATTTCCACCGCGGCCGCATCCATTTCACTTAGGTCCTGGCAGGGGTCGCGGCCCAACAATCTGCCTTCTCCCGGCACCGATGCCTTGGTTCCCCTTGTTCTGGCCATCACCGCCCGTGAAGCCGGCCCATTGCCCGACATCCCACTTGCCGCCGACTCCACCGCCGATCCCGTCGACGCCGTTGCCGCTCCGGACGGCCGCGGCGGTCTCCTTTTGCGCCTCCTCCCATTCCTGTTGGCGCTGGCGCTCCATCTCCATCTCGCGCTCGAGGAGGGACTTGGAGGCCCAGCCCCCGGCCTTTGTCTTCTCCTGGCTCTGCACTCGGCGTCGGTCTTCGGAATCTTGCTCCTGGGTAAGCCCGAGCTCACGAGAGTAGGTTTGCTGAGGTTTCGGTGCCAAGGGAGGTGGTGCCTTGCCCGCCAGGAACCTATCCGTCCGGTTCTGGGGGGCTGGAGGAGTCGAGGAGTAGGCTGTGGGGTCGGGGAGAGGCCGACTGGGACTCTTAGTCCTGGGAGCTGCGGTGGGCTCTGGCAGCGGCCGAGGCGACGTGACCGGCTTGGAAATGGGAGCCGATGCCGGTTCAGGGGTGGAAGGCTTCAGCTTTGGTGCTTCTTGGTGCTGATTCCACTTTGTTCGTAGGAACTCGCGCTCGTCTCTTGACCACGAGTCCTGTCTGGTTGGGATCTGCGCCTGCTTGATTCGGGGGTCTGGCTTGGGCTTGATTTCGGCCTCCGATTCCTGCCGTCCCAACTTCCCCTTGCGTTCTCGCTCATACTCTGCTTCGCGTTGGCGGGCCAGCTCCAGCTCCTGCTCCAACTCCCTCACCCGGCTGCTGTACTCTCCCTCGGCTGGGGGCTCGGGTGCCTTTTGCTCTGCTTGGTACTGGCTGAGGAACTGCCCCTTGAGCCTGGCTTCGCTTCGACTTCTGGCTCGCCGCCGCTCTTCCTCCATGCGCACCTCGGCCTCCTCTTCTTCTTGCCGGCGTTTCTCCTCTGTGAGCTTCCACTGTCGCTCTTCCTCTTCCCATCGCCTCTTCTCTTCCTCTGCCTTTCGTCGCTCCTCCTCCCTCTGGCGTTGCTCCTCCTCCTCCCACCTCTTCGCCTCTTCCAACTGAGCGCGCCTCTCATCCTCCTCTATTTCTTGACGCCGTCTCTCCTCCTCAGCCTCTTTCTCTTTGCGGATACGCTCCTTTTCCGCAAGACTGGGAACCTTGGGTCCCGCATTTGTGATCTGTCTCCGGGCCCCGAAAGCGATCCCGAGGTTCCCCTGACTGGCTCCTCCCATGTATCCGTACTGCGCAATGTTCCACGCCGGCGATGAGGCGGACTCGTGCTCCTTTCTGCTCCAGCTAGTAACAGGACCAGGAGATCCAGGGCCGCGGGCTGGGGAACTCTTTGTAGGGCTGTAGCGGCCGGAATCTCCCGTCCTGTGGGAGAAGACACCGCCAAAGTTTGACGACGAGTTGCTGGTGACGGAGATGCCCCGGTCACGGGAGGCCGGAGGGGTCGAGGGCCCGGTGCCCTGGGGGCTGACCACACCACCACCCCGGGTCTTGGGGCCGATGACTCTGGGGAAGTTGGCCGGGTTGGCGGCATTGGCGGCCCTGCTGAAGGCACCGAGGCACTGAAGCACTTGGGCGGGGTCCTTTTGCTCGTAGAGGTCAACGGTCAGGAAGGTGTCGTGCTGGTGTAGGTTCAGCGGCGGGGCCTGGCAAGCGCGAAGGAATATGGAGATGTTCTCCATCTGTACGAAAGGCATCGCCGATTGCTTGAACTTGACACCGGGAGGGGGGAGGGCGAGGTTCACCAGTCTGCGCAGAAAAAGGTAGGTTAGCTGGCTGTCGCGCGGGCGCTTCGGAAGCGAAGAAAGGGGGGCAATGGAAGGGGATATAGATTGTCGCGTACTTGCACAGAGCGATTCCATCCCTGAGGGCTTCAAGGAGGTCTGATGATGGGAGTCTCTCGCCAAGAATCTCTTCGATCCAGGTTTTGGCCTCGTTCGCTGCCGCCGGCGTAAATTTGTCTAAGCGCACCTTGCGCAAATCCTTATCCAAGGACGAAACTGAAGCCATGGTTGTTTCCAATGCCCGCTCGCTCGCTATCTTAGATTGTATTGAGATCGGGAGCGAAAAGGGGGCGGAAGGGTTTTTTGGCAGAAAGTTTGGTGGTGTCCGACTTGGATCCGGCTGGTGGGGGATATGTGCCACCGTTGGAGGGGGGAATGTTGGATGTCGCAGGAGGTTGTTATGTGTGTGTTCTCTCCGGTCCTGAAAATGCCGATCGCATTCCTCGAGGAGTGAAACGGCCGCGAGTCCTTAGATGGGGAAGAGTGAGTATTCTCTTGTACCAGAATGCGCAGGTGGATGAGGAAGCGAAGTTCATGTTAGGTTGTCGCCAGGAGAGACAGCTAGTGAAGCGAACCGTTGCTTCATGCTTGGCTCCCGTCACCGGCCCAAGCCACTGATTCGGCACCTACAGGGTACGTACCCAGGGCGTCGCGGCCCAATGACGTGGGTTGAGGTGGCGGGTGCAACCCCTGTTTAAAGTGTGGCTGGGCTTATCAGCTTGCAGCATTATCACATTACCAAATTGCCGGGCAGTTAGTAGATCGCCTCGCGCAAAGAAAACCTGTGGCGCAGGGAAAACGTGGGGAGCTCGCCGTTTCACCCCCCAGGATCATTGCCGATTGACTCCCAGAAGAGACCACTATCAATGGCTCAGGCACGAATAGGGCCTCTAGCCCGGGCATGGTACAAATGGAAAGCTCTTCAGCTTCCCTGGCGGAAGCGCTTCCTTGTTGGTAAGTCCCTTCCCCCCACACTCCAGCCAGCTCGCATCGTTTTAAGCGACTTGCTCAATGCTGACATCTTCCTATTGCAGGCGTTGACCTCAACGGGAACACCTACTGGGAGTTCCGCCTCACAAACGGCCCCGAAGAACGTTGGCGACGCATCGTCAAGTACCCGAGGTCGACGCACCTCTCCGAGGTCAAAGTGAGCCCGCTCTGGCATCAATGGCTACGGTACACGCGGGACAGCCCGCCCTCCCTTGAAGAGCAGCATGGAGACGTTGTCCGCCAAGCCCGGATGAAGAAGCTTGCTGCAGAAGCTGATGCGCGGTGGGAGGCCAAGCCTCGGGTCATGGATGCGCCTGGTGCTGCCAACAACCAACCTGTGCGTTCCTTGGGTTCTGCCAGCACGGATCCAGCATCGACAACAAGTCAAACCGCATCTACGAGTCAAGAGAACGCGAAGGACACGAAGGAGGCCAAGCCCGATCCGTGGGCCAAACACAAGGCTCAGGGTCCCAGCGAAAACTGGCAACCCGAGGCATGGAGCCCCAGTGCTCGCAAAAAGCAATAATCATGTAACAACTTGCTCTGTAATAATTTTTGTGTATATTATATACCCGACCTGGCGTCTAGGTGTGTCTTGTTGTAACCGGTCCGGCCTGGTTGGCTAAAGTGTATAACATCTTCACGTGCAACAGAAAAAAAGAGCACCGCTCAAAAAACACAAATATCCCATCCCTTCCACTCCACTGTTCCTAATACCTGTTCCCGTGCCGTATTTTCGCCCCCAAAAAAAGAAAACCCATTCCATCAAGTCCGAATAAACGCCCGCTAAGAATAGGTAACAGTGCCCCCCAAGGCCAACAATAAGCATATCAAGTAAACTCTAATCTCTCTAATCCTCGGTATCTGTCATGGCACTCACAAGAAGTCGTATTCTCGCGGCGGAGTTGTCTAGAACCTTCTCGGCCATGAGATCATCGGCGTCCAACTTGACCTTCTTTGAAGCACGCTTGTTCTTCACCTTTGAGTCTCGCGCCTGCACGCCAGCTTCGACAGCCGCCGCAAATGTCTTGGAATAGACGATCTCATCAGCCAACCATAAAAGTTGCAGAGCTTTTTCCACAACCAATGATAGCTTTGCGTTATCCTCGACGGATACGTTGTTCGCCGGGTGGATGATGAAGCATTTCTCAAGCATGATGGTCGTCAAGGCCCCTTCAAGCTCACCGTCGGGGTCAACCTTTCCGGGGTTCTTGTGACTTTGAGGGAGGAGGAACAGGAATAGAAGCTTCGTAAGGGTAATCTCCGATGCAAGAACCAGCGGCGACTCGCGAGAAGCCACAAACAGTGAGAAGAACGGCAGTGGCTGCACCTTGAGTAGCTTTGCAGTGTCATCATATAACCTCTCCAGTTCTTTCGCGGTGCCCAGGGAGTGAGTTGCAAGTGACAGTAGCTTGAAGACTCTCAGCCGTAGGTAGATGGACTCGACTAGCCCAGGTTGAGAAACGCCGAGGGTCTCGGCCTTTCTTGACTGCCGGGGTTTTTGGGGTGTGGGTGGTTGCGAGCCCCCTGACGAGATGGCATCCTCGTCATCAAAATAGTCCCCGAACTTGCCATTCTCCAGATCCAGACTCTCGTGCTTCCTTTTCTTGGACTCCCTCTTCGGCCCCTTGAGCTCGTCTGAAAACACTTCTTTGAATGCCGACATTGAAATCTTGTCGCCATGGGCGAAGACGGCTTTCAGAATACACTTGCGTCCCGGACCGTCCTGGTCCATATAGGTGGAGATGATTGACTCTTGCCGGAATCTGGTCTGAACGTCGTCGCTTCCACTGGTGGTATCGCAAATTTCCAGATCCTGTCGTTCACGCTCCTCCCAGTCCCTCTCCATCAGGTCAAGCATGAACTCGAGCCAAGGTTTCCAATACTTCCAACGTTTTGGGTACAGCACGCTGCAGTTGAATGCCCATCCCAGTACCATCCAAAAATCCTGCGCCCGACTCCAAAGGCTGCCGCTGTTGGCAAGGCTGCACTCCAGCTGATCTGCGACCATATCCGCATCAGTGTCGGTGTCCTCGGTACTGTGTCGCTGTCGCCTTCTTGACCATGATTGCTGAGAAAAGCGTGTGGCCGCTTTGAAGTCGGCATTCAGGGGCCCAACTGTCGAGAGCAGGCTTTTTAGATAGTTCAGCGCTTGAGCCGGAAGCTCGCGATGCTCTTCTTTCGAAGCCCGTGTGGTGTATTGTGGGTGTAATATTAGAGTGTTCAGAAGTGCTATGTGGCTCGCAGGAGGGACGGATATGGGTTTAGATAGCGCTGGTGATCGTCTTGATGTGCCAGCAGCAAGGATACTGCTCAGCAGGCTCACGCCAGCACCGTCTGCGCGACTGTCAGCGTCGGGTCATCTTCAACCATCCAAGACACGGATAAGGCGGGACTCACAGAGTTTTTCATCGAGAAATATGTGGCAATGGTCCCTCAGTTCGGAAGGCAGGGGCCGTGCATCGTCATACGGCGACGCATTCTCGTAGACAGGGCTGCTAGCCGTCGTTGATTTGCTGCCGTAGTGGGAATCAACAGCGGTGTAGAAGGACGAATCATTCGACACAGAGCTGGCCGGTGAGTAGGATGCCATCGTCGTCGGTAGAGGCATCTCAGGGGCGCAACTATCTGTGAGTACGCGACAACGCGTAAAGCAGCTGCCGTGGGATGGTGGGACGGAGGAGCAGATAAATTGTCGCCATCTAGTCCCTGCAGCGCGGCAGGAACTGATTCAATTATTGTCATTAGGTTGCCTTCCATCACAGCACGGGCCGCTGTTGCTGCTAGGCTCAACTCGGCCGACGCGTTTACTAGCACTGTGTGGGATGAACGCGCCTGCGCCACAAAAACGCTTTTTTCACCGTTGGCGCCACACCGTGATTGCCGCTTTTAGAGTCCCGGGTAATTAATAATTGTATCGGTCAGCAGAAACAACTACATCACTTGCTTGGTTCCTCGAACATTTTCAAGTGGTATCATCTATTTTTCTCTAAACTTCTATAATTAAAATGCCCAATTGAGGGCCGGTCTATTGTCTCTAATTCGTAACGACCTATCCAGGTGTTCTCATGCCAATCCCGAACGCCTTGCCCCGTTATGCCTGAGGACCTGTCACCTCATGAGCAAAAATGCAATAATTCATATGACAACCGTCCCTCGAGTCCATGCCTCTCCATTAACATCCTCTCTCACTAACGACGAGATGCTGCGGAGGCGTTTGTGGCATTTGTTCGATGTCTCACCACCTCCTCCATAGCCTCATCTTCGTCCACAGGCTGGTGTGTCGCGCGCATGCGCGCGAGGACCTCTGCCGCCTCGGAAGCGAATTCGCACTTCATTCGGATCCTGTCACCGTATTTCCAGAACAGGAACGGGAATGGTACACACGCCACGGCCAGGAAGGCGGGGATCGAACTGGCCCAGTGGATTCCAAGATCTTTGTACATGTAGGTTGTGAAGAGGGGGAAGACGGCACCGAAAAGCGATCGCAGGACGGAGTTGGCTGCGAGCACGGATGCTGCGAAAATGACGTAGGAGTCGACGAGGTAAGTCATGAGCGACAAGAATACGAGCACAATGCCCGTACCGAATACTCCTGAGCCGACGATAGACACGGCCCAGTGAATCTCGGGACCATTTGTCCAGGCGAACCAGAACATCCCCACGGGAATGAGGATCGAGCCGAGGATGGCGGGTGGAAGACGTGCTTCAGGGGGGGCTGCACCGCCGTGAGCAATGGCTATACGGACATAGCGCTTGTTGTCGAGGATGCTGCCAGCTGTCGCGACGGTCATGCCCACAGCCAGACCAATGAAGGCCAAACCACCAATGCCAGGACTCCACCCACGGCCCTGCTGATAGACAATGGGGAATGCAGCGAAGCAGAGGTACATGGTACCGTAGATGATGGCCATGTAGAGCGAAGTAAGGAGCACGATGGGCTCCTTGAAGAGCAGAACCCAGGGTCTCGACAGTGCGACCGCAAACTGTTGGCGAAGGGTCTTGATCGGCTTGCCAGCCTCCAATTTCGAGACATAGACCTTTCCGGTCTTTTTGCTCAGAGCGGCAGCTCTCACCTTGAGCAGCACGGGCGAATATGTTTCTGGGTAGCTCAGAGTGCTGGTGATCCAGACGAGACCACAGAAAACCGCCATCAAACCCTCGACCCAGCGCCAGCCCGCGGCCTGGCCCAGGAAACCACCAGCAATAGGGCCTATATGAATCAGTCACCCAATCAGGACAAAACGAGGTCAGATTACGATTACTCACCGAGAGAAGGTCCCAAAAAGGGGGCCATTGCAAAGATGGATGTGGCGATACCTCTTTCCTTGGCTGAGAACATATCGGCAATAACACCACCAGCGTTGGTCAGGGGAGCTGAGCCAAAAGCGCCAGCAAAGAATCTTATCACAATCAGGCCTGCAATGTTGGGGGCTCCTGCAGCTCCAGCATTGAAGGCGGTCAAACCCATGTAGGTGAAGAAGAAGAGCCGCTGACGGCCGTACAACTCGGACAGGGGCGCCCAGATCAAAGGTCCGATGGCAAAACCCAGGACGAACATGGAAACACCAAGAATGGCGACTTCTGTCGACACCTTGAATTCCCTGATAACACCAGTGACATCACCAGAGTAGGCCGAACTGGCAAAGGCTACGGAGAGGGTCGCCATCGCCTGGACGAGAGTGATTAACCATTTCCGGGACTGGGAGAAGGTCGTCGGGTCGTGTTGATCGTTGGGGATGAATTCGACCTGGAAGGGAGACTCGGTGGTTCCTTCGCCAGCGTACTTGTGGTCAAGGACAGCCTGAGTGATGCCGGCCTGGTCAATGAGAGTGCGGAAGTACGAGTGCCTGTCGCTGGCGGCGCGCTGTGACTCGACATCGGCGTCTGTCGCTGTGGCCGATGAAGACGACGACGACGATGATATCGGGGCTTCTGCCGTTGGTGCCATGGCTGCTTGGAGACGGCGATGCAGTGCTACGTTATGGTGGTGTTGAAGATCTCAGTTCGAAGTGACAACCCGGCTCCACCCAGGTGAATTATATAGGGGGAGCCGGGCCTCTTAATAAAGTCGCCGCCATGCCGGTATACTACCTATCTACCTGAATCGACTACTGGCCCTTGGAATCTCCGGAGATAAGACGTCGAAAGAGACTGCTGTATTACCAAGCCAAATCGAGAGATTTTCCCGCGCCATGGAGCGGGTTTGGCGCATCTTGCACACCAAGCCCTCCGTATCGAGTAAGCGGGAGGCCGGGATTCACAACAACCCAAGCTGGCTCCCGCTCCGTCCATGTGGCCATGCGCAGAAATCAGCTAGCCCTTGACCTCCGAACTGGATCAGGTGGAGCGTCGCCAACTTGGATGAGCCCGGCGCTAGGCAACCCGGCACCAACGCACTGTCCATTACTTAATGTGCCGAGGCTGCGTGCAGCTGGTGGGGATTATACGAATGCGCAAGAGTTTTGTTTTGCTTTGCCCGCAGAACGTTGTAATTTCATTGGAGCGACCACTGGCCTGGGGAGACGCTCCAGATCCAATCTCCGGCTGCGACGTGACAGAGTTGTTTCCAGACGGCTGACTACATACATACATACGAGGGGGCTGCATCATGCCGCGTGAAGGTTGCAGCCGAAGCGCACTCGGAGGCATCATTGAAGGAACAGTAGCCTGAATCATTACTGGCCGTAAGCCGACAGGAGAATGAATCAGTACACTGCAAGTATCATCTGCCGCTAACCGCCAAGTGACGCCATCGATCGTCGGCCCATGCGACCAGAAAAAATGTTTGCATCCGCCAAACGATAACGAATCCCTGCCCGAGCCCGACACACCAAATTATCGAGGCCCGCTTCTTTGATTAGGCTTCTCATCAACCTCCCACGCCGGACACGTCTCGCCTCATTCGGAACGCCGACAGTCTGGTCACCAACCGGGATTCGGGGTCAGAGATCTTCAAATCCCAGATAATTCCAACAATGGACCCTTTATTGTTTTGCTGGTCCACTCACGGCTGCTTGTCGCTGCGCAGTGCTACGTACCAGCTCGGCACAATCTTGCCGATTCTTCTCGCATTAATCGAAGGTAGATCTGATCTCCTGTGCTGCGTTCTGACGAGTGTCCCGTTTCTAATCAGATCACCACCTGCGGCCTTATTACCAGTACCAGTCTAATCTCCGAATCCATCCCATTCGTCCTCCTCTACCTCGTCCGTTGCTTGGTCATCTGATGTGCCACAACTGCTGCCATCCTCTTCGTCAGACCCGTCCCTGGCAATCAGCGTAACTGGTTCTCCCGTGGATTTTAGCACCGGCATCCCGAGCTGGTCCCGTACGATTCTCCCCTCCACGTCCCGGAGGTATGGACCCTCATCATCGTCACCACCACCACCATCCGCATGGCCACTGGATCGAACAAAACCGGCAACAAAGAACCCCATCACTCCCCGCCCGTCCCCTTTGTGGCTCCGAATGCATCCCTCCGCAATCTCTGTATCCCCGCCGCATTCCTCTGGAAGGCCCCGGACGTCCCAATCCCTCAGCCCACTGACCTGATCGTCTCTCCGTAAAATCCTCCAGCCCCTGCTACGGGCAATATCTGATTGTAGCGCCTTCATGACAACTCGCTCGTTCTCCTCCGCGTGCACAGAACATGTAGAATATGTGACCCGCTTGGCAGATGGGAACTTGAACGCATGTAGAAGGATAAGCAACTGGAAGGAAGAAAGCGCCTCCAACCTTGCCTGCAAGTCCTTGCTGGAATCGACTACCGTCTCGTTCCCTTCGTCGTCGATGAGAACGTTCTGTGATGCTTCCTTCTCCCCCTTCTCCACCTCCCCATGCTTCCTCTTCCTCGCTGTCTGCGCATTTTTTGGCGGCGGTGCACCCTTGCCCTTGGACTGCTTGTCGAGCGCATCTGGCAGATGCAGCTCGGGCATTGAATCACGCCCAACAATCCCGCTTCCCGAACAGCTCGGGTCCAGCAGCAGCAACCCGACATCCTTGTACTTGTCCGCCTCGGGGTCGACCTGCAGGAAGTCCTGGCCGGGGGCGATGACCGTCTGCTTCCTCAACCCGGCGATCCTGACCATCTTCTCCAGCGTCTGCGCCCTCCGCGAGTCCTTCTCGAAGGCGAAGATGGTCTGCGGCGCACTCTCAAAGTCCGGCCGGTGCCCGTGGAGCACGGCGGCCAGGTGCGTCGTCTTGTTCCCCGGCGCCGCGCAGGCGTCCACCACGTCGCCGTCCTCGGAGCGGGGGTCGAGCAGGTAGGCCGGGAAGCACGAGGCCTTGTCCTGCAGGATGACCTTGCCCGCGCCGTAGGCCTCCGTCTTGGTGAGGTCGGTCCCCTGCGTGACGGCGAGGAGGTTGGGCACGTGGGGGTCCATGTAGACCAGCCGGGTCCCCGCCGCCTTGCTTGGCAGGGAGCGGATGACCTCGTGCAGCTCCGTCGTCCTCTTGTACGTGGCGAACGTGGTCTCCAGCTGGTCCTCGACGCTGCTCTTCAGGGCGTTGACGCGCACCCAGCGCGGGATGTTGGCCTCCTCGCCTGCCGATGCTCTCTCGACCTGCTCCCGTAGCTGCTCGGTGGAGGCAGCCTTCCGCCGGAGCCTTGCCAGCGTCAACTCGGACGTCAGACGACCCTTGTGACGCTCGACGCTCTGCCTGAGACCATGACTCTGTGGGAGGGCGATGCCGCCCTTGGCCAGGAGCAAATCATGTGTCAGTAGTAATGAGAGAGCCGGTGTCAACTAGAAATATAGATTCAGCGTCAGCTTCAGAGGAAATATCCATAGGCAATTGAAAAAAAAAACCCAAAAAATAGAAGAATCCAATTTTTGCATCTAATGCGCTCGGCGCATGGAAGATGTATAAGTGAAATGGAGAAGCATACCTTTCGTTCAAGTTTCAAGAGCTCGGTCCTGTCGATAACCTCCTTGAGCACGACACTCCATTTGCAAGTTTCCAGCACCAAAGCATAGAGCTGATTGGGGGGCGACTTGAGGTTCTTCTTCTTGAAGACTCGAGCTTTGAGGCTGCCGCCGTCCGAAGTTGGCGCTAGGAGGAACTCTGCCGCCTCATGGTAAAGTGACATGTCGATCAACAGGATGCCAAATTCATAATTTAACCTCCCCTCAGGACTGGTCTCTCGGTTAAGCCCCTTGATATTTTCTTCCCGGGCTGTATGCGACAATGTCCGACTTGAGTTGCTCAATCAAACAGGCAAAAAAAGAAGATTGGAAAAAAGATCTCTTCACAAATGTCGTTCAAAAATGGACGCCAGATCAGGAAATTAATGAGTTCACCCGCAAATTACCCGCCACTCACCCACAGACGATTGCTGTCAGCACTCTATTTACACTCAGCATCAGAACCAGCAACCCTTATTCTATCATACCTATGCATCTCTATATCCACGATAATAGTGTATCACATAAGGTATAGCTCGGCTATACTGAGGGAAAGCGACGTCATTACGTAGGTTGGACTGATTATTTTCATCGAGAATGAATCATGCAGGCAAAGAGATGGGCCTAAAGACGACCGATGGTGTTCAACAATCCACGCCAGATTGGGACTTAATTGCCCGCTCCTACTCACCACAGCTACATCTATCAACACTCTAGTATAATGTCAGACTTCATCATATCTACATACCTATGGTGATGCTCTATCAGGCAACACCTGGGTCACTGAGCGAGTAGGTGGTATTGAACGTTGCACACTGACCTCGGATTTCGATTTAATGCCAAAAGCAACAGTCCCAATAATGAGTGACCTAACCGAGTGTCAAAAATTCATCGCAAACAATTTTACTATCTACTTGGTTATTATGATAATAATTTTAATAAAGGTAAATAGTGGTGGAAAGAGATCCATCAAGTCATGTTGGCACAGTGTAGTAGGCAATCTTGCAATTTCCTACGCCTCCCTCAAAAAGCCAGTACCGGCCAGCCGGAAAAAGCTCCCAAGTCATTGTGTCTGGCACGTTGAGGCGGTAGTTTTGCTTTCCATATCTCCTGGCTCAAGTTCAATTAGACTTCAAGCCCCAAACACCCTTCAACGCAGAGAAAGATGTATTACAAGATATCTATCTGACGTAACGCACAGCTGCGAGCTCTGAAAATGGAGATGATTTTCTATACTATCAAGAGGCAAAGTAACAAATCTTCCAGAATTCTACTAACCTTCCTGTTTCCAACTATATTTCCTATTTGGCTAGTATCAGGGAGACTCGCCTCAACATGTCTGAAAGTTACCTCCCTCCTCGGTCGTGCGTGTAGAAACATGGACATACCTGCTTGACTTTCTTTTTGTAAAAGGTATCAAGTATCTTCCTACGTGCTTAGGAAGAGGTACCGTCACTTACATACAGCATACATGTTTCCGGCATTAGAAGCTCTTGTGACAGTAAGAGATCAACCGCTAACCCTTCCCAGTGCCAGTTCCTCCTTACAAGCTAAGGGATTGCGTTTTCCTGGTGGCACTGGGCGGTTCTAGACGCCTGGTTTTGATCAGCCCGGTCCCATCTTCGATCTGCCAGCATTTTTGCCTGTCCCCCTGAGGGTCCTATGCCATACGTTGTCTCTTGGCCAAATGATGATCAAGTTGGGCTTGAGAGCCTTCATTCACCACCACAATCTCCAAACCACGCCGATTGAAACATCAACACCAATTATGAGTTCTTTAGTCCCCAATACCTAAATTACAGTCTTACCAATAAGTCAAGGTAGGAATTCATGTGATTGTCGCATCCAGTCACCCTATTACGGCCATGGCACTTCAGTCGCACCTGCCATTAAATGCTGGCGAGTATGAACAAGTATCTCTGATATGTAGGAATAGATTGTATCGCAAAAGATTCGGGGATGGTTACCTATTAACCAGTCTAGGTGGTGGAAAATGTTGATTTTGTGTTAATTAGAGTCTCTATGGACCGCCGTTGGGTTTAAAGAAAATCCGGTTGCGATGCCAATCACATCTAGCCCCCGTCTCTAGATTGCACTTCTTCACGGCGGCAAAATAAATTTAGAAGAATAATCAGAGTGTGCAGAACAAAGTAAACTCGAACCACCTAGTCCAGAAATAGGGTAGGACATCGCTGGCAATTCTACCCCTTTAAGTTATGTACTGTGCTGTCTAGCCATACCTTTGACAGCCTACGCCGGGTCGGCCTCAATCTCGTTTCCATAGGCCTTTAAGTGGCTGCTCCGAAGAATGGAGGACAGCCTCGCAGTATCTTGAGCCTCTTCAAGATATTGATCTCCTGAAAAGAGGTTTCAACAACTTCCTCGCAAGGCGACAAGTTCGATGCTGAAGGGTACGAGAACCGAACGTAGTCAATGCCAAAGGCTTCTTCTTCAAATAAGCCATTCGGTTAGCACGTTTCTTTGCTTGGGGGGGAGAAGTATCATTGATGGTGCGCTCACCTCACCCTCTTCGCCGTCCCACCCCCTCTCTACAACGGGGGTGCGCAGCATATGAAACTGGGGGAGGATAGCACTGTCCCAGTCTAAGATCTGGGAAACGTCGCGGCTCGTCGAGGGTATTGTGAGGGATGAAGTCAATGTGAGTTTAGTAGATGGGGACGTCGTCAACCCAACCACCTAAGCCTAGCCCCGATGCCATGTCGTAAAAGCTGTTCATCAGCTTGACCAGAATCCCGACTACAAATTCCGGTGTAATGCGACCTTTTTCTAGCCCCCAAGGATATTTTCAAACATGCATCTTGCTTTGCTAGACTATTACTAGGGGCACTGTTAGACAGCAATCCCAGCATGATCCTCTTGGTCATTATCGATCCTCCAGCAAAACGAGATGACTTGAAGCGCCGTGTCAGAACCCCGGTGGAGTGCCTCTTGGCTTTCTCTTGAATTGGCTCGGGGGCCAATTCCGCCACGCCATTAATCCTGCCTGGTATGAAAAGGAGGCACCCACCATGTGCTACCAAAGAGATCAAATGGGTAGCCAGCTCAAGGGCCCTCCTGGTCATGTTTCTGTGCAGGCATAGCGCCCTTCAATTGTCAACCTAAGTTACCCAGGTACTCGTAGTCTAGATGGAGGTCATGGTTTAGGGGAGTTTCGGAGTTTCGAGGCTAATGAATATGATATTGCACCTCCTAACTTGTTCGTTTCACGACCCAGCCGACTCACTTCTAGGTAGCTTGGGGTATTTCCTACCCTAAACCATGCCAATGCAACCCTGTGTCATTAAGGAAGATCATACCAGGATTTCTGCAACAAACCATGTGTGAAATCCTCTAGTGGACATCGACATGGGGAAATGCATGTAGGTGGTATCCTCGAGTCTCGACGGGTTATTTGACACATGGGAATATTGATCGAATTGTTGGGGTCAAGCCCATCTGCTACGGAACTTATGAGATGAAGCCACGGCTGATCACGCCAGTTTTGCATCCCCAAGGATGCTACTGTGACGTTGTGAGACGCTACACTGCATTGAACCTTATAACCAACCCCATGAACCACTGATCTACCTTTAGCGGCGTCGGGTTAATGACGGTCTCAGATGTCAAGGGCACGGATAGCAAGCAGGCAAGCACCAGCGACGGCAAAGCCAAAAGCAACGATGCCCATGATACGAACGCAAGGCCATGCGACACTACCGTGCCATAGATGCAATGCAGAACTCAAATATCCCCCCCCCCCCAATACGAGTCCCCTCCCCGAGAGCGACGGTGTCTGCAACGGTAGAGAAGATGCCAAACAAGCTACCGAACTGCAGGCAAAAGTCCTCCGCACAGCCCACCTGCATATACAATCTGCAGATGGATTCCTGGATCCAGACTCTCGTAACTTCAGCCGTGCATTCATCACAGTACATATTGCGCACACTCTATGTACGGAGGCCCCGGCAGGGCTGCAGGTCGTCATTGGCTGGGCCCAGCATCTCAAATCTCACCCTCCTCCAGTTTCGGGGCAAAGGACCGGTCGGAGCGCCATCACGGGCCCCCCAGCCTGGGCAGAGGAAAAAAGAAACAAGGCTCTTCTGGAAGGGCGCTTATTTCTTAGAACGCCTTCACCGTCTGGGATATTCCTCAAAATAAACAAAATCGCAAAAAAGCATCGCGACTTGCACGAGTCACGAAAATTGCGGGAGCCCGGCCGCCGTTGGCAGCCCTGAACAGGGGAGAGCTTCTCGGTCAAGGGAGGCCCCTGTAAAACAAGCATGGAACATTGGAAATCAGATCGAATCAAAGTCAGGCACAGCCCAGAGCGCTCAGACCGGCCCCTCCTCTCCGGGGAGGGGGGGCAAAGTGAGATTTGATTTGAGAGGGAGCAATCAACCCAGCCTGGCCAATCGAAGTGTGTGTGCCCTGTTGTTATGATGACAGCATGAGCAAGAGGCGATCCAAACGGCCGACGCGGGACCAGAAGGTGTGAATCGGGCATTGCCATAATTGCACTTTACGGTGTCCTCCAACTATCGACGTACGAGTTAAGGTTTCCGAGGACATCACACTCTAAAGCGTCATTGCTACAGTCCTAGACATGCAGGTGTAGCTACCGCTCTACGCGCGCCACTGCTACCACCGCGTCGGGCTGGGGATGGCTTGTGCTCGCTCTTTGCTGGCATGAATTGTATCAGGAACAGTAGTTTGGTGGGGAGAGCGGAGAGCGGCGAAGCTGTTCTGGACCGTACAGATCTCCATGCATCGAGGATCACGGGCTTTTACCATCGACATCAGATGGCATCTAGAACTCGCGGTTGAATCTTGGCTGAGACACCTGGCCGTCGAATCACTGGGTCTACATTGGCAAGCTTCCCTTGCTTCTGCTGGCTGGCAGTGCCGGCACGACGATCAAGATTGCCGCTTACGAGAGCACAGCCAACCATAGGTGCCTGGCTGGCCAAGCTACTGATTGCCGGCCGGAGGTAGATGATAGATGGTTAGATCCTGTATGTATACGAGCTGTGTGCTGGGGGAGCTGAGAGTGGTGACGCACACGGGGACCGTGTAAGCGGCCCCAAACAGACTATCAGCTGCGCTGCTCTGCGAACTGGGTCGTCGTTGACCGAAGTCAGAGTATTACCAATGCTCCGTACCTATCGCTGAGAGAGCATTTCATAAC